GTCGGGCCCAGGGCCCCCAGGCAGTGTGCAGCCTAAAGACTTGGTGCCCAATGTCCCAGATGCTCCAGCCATGACTGAAAGGGGCCAACGTACAGCTCCAGCTGTGGTTTCAGAAGATGGAAGCCCCAAGCCTTGGCAGCTTCCACGTGGCGTTGAGCCTGTGTGTGCACAGGAGTTGAGAATTTAGGTTTGGGAACCTCCGCCTAGATTTCAGAAGATGTATGGAAACACCAGGATGCCCAGGTAAAAGTTTGCTGCAGAGGCAGGGCCCTCATGCAGAACCTCTGCTAGGGCAATGAGGAAGGGAAATGTGGGGTCGGAACCCCCACACAGAGTCCCTGCTGGGGCACTGCCTAGTGGAGCTGTGATAAGAGGGCCACCATTGTCCAGAGCCCAGAATGGTAGATCCATTGACGGCTTGCACTGTGCACCTGGAAAAGCCGCAGACACTCAATGCCAGCCTGTGAAAGCAGCTGGGAGGGAGCCTGTACTCTGCAAAGCCACAAGGGCGGAGCTGCCCAAGACCGTGGGAACCTATATCTTCCATCAGTGTGACCTGGATGTGTGACCTGGAGTCAAAGGAGATCATTTTGGAGCTTTAAAATTTGACTGCCCCGCTGGATTTTGGACTTGCATGGGCCCTGTAACCTGTTTTGGCCAATTTCTCCTATTTGGAACTGCTGTGTTTACCCAATACCTGTACTCCCATTGTAACTAGGAAGTAACTAGCTTGCTTTGGATTTTACAGGCTCATAGACAGAAAGGACTTGCCTTGTCTCAGATGAGACTTTGGACTGTGGACTTTTGGGTTAATGCTGAAATGAGTTAAGACTTCACAGTGCTGTTGGGAAGGCATGATCGGTTTTGAAATGTGAGGACGTGAGATTTTGAGGGGCCAGGGGTGAAATGATATGGTTTGGCTGTGCCCTCACCCAAATCTGAACTTGAATTTTATCTCCCAGAATTCCCACATGTTGTGGGAGGAACCCACAGGGAGGTAATTGAATCATGGGAGCCCGTCTTTCCTGTGCTATTCTCGTGATACTGAATAAGTCTCACAGGATCCGATGGGTTTATCAGAGGTTTCCACTTTTGCTTCTTCCTCATTTTCTCTTGCTGCTGCCATGTAAGAAGTGCCTTTCACCTCCTGCCATGATTCTGAGGCCTCCCTAGCCATGTGGAAATGTGAGTCCATTTAAACCTCTACAGGCATGGTGACTCACATCTGTAATCCCAGCATTTTGGGAGGCTGAGTTGGGCAGATCAACTGGGAATTCGAGATCAGCCTGACCAACATGGAGAAACCCCATCTCTACTAAAAATACAAAATTAGCTGGGCATGGTGGTGCATGCCTGTAATTCCAGTTCTTGGGAGGCTGAGGCAGGAGAATTGCTTGAACCCGGGAGGCACAGAGTCAAATCTTGCAGTGAGCCAAGATTTCGCCATTGCACTCCAGCCTGAGCAACAAGAGCGAAACTCCATCTCAAAAAAAAACCTTTCTTCTGTAAATTGCCCAGTCTTGGGTATGTCTTTATCAGCAGTGTGAAAACGGACTAATACATTTTTTTTTGTATTTGTTGTAGAGATGGGGTTTTGTCACGTTGCTCAGGCTAGTATCCAACTCCTGAGCTCATGTGATCTGCCTACCTTGGCCTCCTAAAGTGCTGGGATTATAGGCATGAACCACTGTGACTGGCCTAGGTCTGTTGGTCTTTTAAGACCTTTTTAATGAATAAGGGTGATATGGTTTGACTCTGGGTCCCCACCCCAATCTCCTGTTGAATTGTAATCCCACTTGCCAAGGGAGGGACCTGGTGGGACATGATTGGATTATGGGGTAGATTTCCCCATGCATTTCTCGTGATAGTGAGTTCTTATGAGATCTGTTTTTATGTGTGTATATGTGCATGTGTATGTGGGGCACTTCTTTTGTTTCCTCCTACTCTGCCATGGTAAGACATGCTGGCTTCTCCTTTGCCTTCCACCATGATTGTAAGTTTCCTGAGGCCTCCCAGTCTTGCTTCCTGTTATGCCTGTGAAACTGATGAGTCAAACTGCCTTTCTTCATAATTTTCCCAGGCTCGGGTAGTTCTTTTTTTTTTTTTTTTTGAGACAGGGTCTTGCTCTGTCTCCCAGGCTGGAGTGCTGTGGTGCTAGCTTGGCTCACTGCAACCTCCGCCTCCTGGGTTTAAACGATTCTCCTGCCTCAGCCTCCTGAGTAGCTGGGACTATAGGTGCATGCCACCACACCTGGAAAATTTTTTAAAAATATTTTTAGTAGAGATGGGGTTTCACTACGTTGGCCAGGCTGGTCTTGAACTCCTGACCTCAGCTGATTCACCTGCCTTGGCCTCCCAAAGTGCTGGGATTACAGGCGTGAGCCACTGTACCCGGCCTCAGGTAGTTCTTTATAGCAGTGTGAGAACAGACTAATACCAAGGGTTATAGGCTTTGACACCACTTACACACTATTAACATGCAATTTCCTAAAATGAACATGTAAAGACAAACAAGGGTTGCTCCAGAGACATGGTAAATAAAGCATTCTAACAGGGTAGAAATAGGGAATGCTGCAAATAAGCTAGACTCAGAAACCAATGTGGGCCGGGCATGGTGTCTTATGTATGTAATCCTCACATTTTTAGAGGACAAGACGGGAGGATTACTTGAGCCCAGAAGTTTGAGACCAGCCTAAACAACATAGTGAGATCCCATCTCCGCAAAAAAGACACAAAAATTAATTGGGCATAGCACATGCCTGTAATCCCTGCTGTTCCAGAGGCTGAGGCAGGAGGACCACTTGAGCTCAGGAATTCAAGGCTGCAGTGAGCTGTGGCCTTACCACTGTATTTCAGTCTGGGTGACAGAGCAAGACCCTGTCTCAAAAAAAAAAAAAAAAAAAAAAAAAGACAACATCAACCTGTTCTGCAGTGACACCCAGGCTGAGGCCATGAACACAGTTACTCATGAGGGAAAGAAAAATGGAAGAGCCACAAATATAAAACGTCCTACGACCCTCAAACACAAACAGCGTCAGCCTGTTGAACATGGAAGATTCCGAGGTAGTATCACTGCAACCAATGCTAATCTCCCAGTTAATCTGCCAGGGGAAGGAGATCCCTGTATCTCCAGGTGGTTGAAGTAGCAGCAGTCCTAGTCCAGGCCCCAGAGAGTAATCTGGCCTCTCATGGGAGCTGCATCTGACCTGTACCTGTTTCCTTATGTCACAAACTGCCTGCATGCAGACTGCGGGGGGAGCCTGCAGGTGAAACATCATAATTCCAGGGACAACAATGCCAGGAGTACAGGAAAGGCCACCGTCCATGCAAAATTCACACTTAAAGTGTGGCTTGAGAGTCAGATCAGACCAGGGCAAGGGTATAAAGTGCTACGCTTAAAAGAGGCTTGTCCATACTCAGCCTCCACACAGATATGGGACACCCAGCAGGCTGTCAAGTGGGTTTACCATCATGATACATTTGTATCTTAAATGTGAAACATGGTTTAGTAATCACAATTCCCACCCAGTTGTTGAAAATACTATTCAAGGTTGGGTGTGGTGGCTCACGCCTGTAATCCCAGTACTTTGGGAGGCCAAGGTGGGTGGATCACGAGGTCAGGAGTTCGAGACCAGCCTGGCCAACATGGTGAACCCCCATCTCTACTAAATATACAAAAATTAGCCAGGTGTGGTGGCAGATGCCTGTAATCCCAGCTACGTGGGAGGCAGAGGAAGGAGAATTGCTTGAACCCAGGAGGCAGAGGTAGCAGTGAGCTGGGATCATGCCACTGCACTCCAACCTGGGTGATAGAGCAAGACTCTGTCTCAAAAAAGAAGAAAAAAAGAAAATACTATTCAAGCCTGGCGCAGTGGCTCACGCCTATAATCCCAGCACTTTGAGAGGCAGAGGCGGGCGGATCACCTGAGCTCAGGAATACAAGACCAGCTTGGGCAACATGGTGAAACCCTGGATGTGGTAGAGCCTGCCTGTAATCCCAGCTGTAATCCCAGCTACTCGAGAAAATCGCTTGAACTCAGGAGGCGGAGGTTGCAGGGAGCCAAGATTGTGCGACTGCACTCCAGCCTGGGCCACAGAGTAAGACTCCGTTTAAAAAAAACCAAAAAATTCAACAGGAGCACCTGGGCTTTTAACATGAAATCGTAAATATCTGTCTCAAACATAACAAAATAACATACAATTTTATTTGCACTTCGGAAAATTGGAAATGGAAAAACTCAGCAATTTTTCTTATCATGCCCAGGTTAAGAGCATCAAGGTTAAGGGCACCACGTGGGCACCCATGAATGGACGTTCTGGTTTGTTCATTAGCTTGAGACGAACGACTGCATTCATCCTCCACCTCTTCTTTTCTTCTTTTTTTTTTTTAGAGACGGGGTTTCGCCGAGTTAACCCGGATGGTGTCGATCTCCTGACCTCGTGATCCGCTCGCCTCGGCCTCCCAAAGTGCTGGGATTACAGGTGCGAGCCACAGCGCCCAGCCCCACCTCTCTTTTTCTTACTTAAAGACGGTGAACACTTTTTCGTGTCACTGGAGTTGGAAACGGCTACAACGTCTGGTGGGAAAGCCTTTATTCCACGGTCCCTCGGCAGTTTCCCACGGTGGGGAGCAGCTTTAACTCGCCCATGGGGAGGCTGGAGCCAAGGTCAGTCCTAGAAACGAGGAGATTTTGAGGGCAGACAGCGTAGAAGACTCAGGAACGCAGCTCCCAGGATTGGATTCGCACACCCAGTTCCCCGGCACCGGCCCGCAACGTCACCGGGCAGTGAAGCTGACCAAGAGCGACAGGCGGGGTCGGGGTCACGTGACGGGCGCCGGGCCAGGCTGGCGTGCGCGGGAGCACGCAGAGCAGTTCGGCCCTGGGCCGCGCGCCTTGCGTGCGCGCGCATGCCGGGGGCGGAGCGTGTGGGCCGGGCCTCCGGCGCGCGCTGCGGGCGGGGGCGGGACGGAGCGGGGTGGAAGGGGTGGGCGGGGCCTAGTCCTGCGAGGCTGGGCCGGCGGCGTCGGCGGCGGGAGGCGGGTGACCCGCGGCGGGGCGCCTCGGCCATGACTGCGGAGTTGCAGCAGGACGACGCGGCCGGCGCGGCCGACGGCCACGGCTCGGTGGGCTCCGCGGCGGGGAGCGGGGGCTGGGGGCGGGCTCCGGGCCCTGAAGGGAGCTTGCGGGGCCCGTGGGGCTGCGGGCTGCGGGCTGCGGAGGGCGTCCGGCCGGGCGGGACGGAGGGGTGCGCCCGCGAGCGTGGGTGAGAAGGCCGAGGGCTCTGTGGGGCTCGGGCCGCCGAGACTGAGGACTGCATCTTCGCGTCCGTGGGCGAGCCGAAGTTGGAGGGGGATTTCCACATTTGGGTAAAGCGAGGGTATAAAGGGCTGGACGTGGGGTTCGCCGCCGCAGCGATCAGTAAGGTGAGCGCTCCTGGGCCCGGACTCGGGTGAGAAACTTCCGAAAGCGGCAGCGTTGGTTGGTTTTGTTTTGTTTTGACTTTTAAATGATTTTTATGGCGGCGTTTTTAAAAGGTTAAAGCAGACAGAAGTTACCTCACTTAAAGTTAGGGATTAACAGGGTCTTCTGTAAGACCAGGGGTCCCAGTTACCACCACTTCCCTCCCTCCCCACCGGCTTTAAAAACAAAACAAAACAGCGCAGCCTCCCCAATTATTGCATTCATCACTCTAGATTTTTAAGGGGAGGAGGAGCAGCGTGATGAATAGAAAGTCTACTGATAAGGCTCTCTTGTTCCCAAAGTCTAAGAAGATTGAAATCAATACAAGGACTTGAGCTAAGATGGTGAGAGTGAAAGAGCTCTGGTTTGGGAGAAAAGCTAATGTCTGTCTGTATGAAGAAACTTGGGAAGAGGGCACTTTGAGCATGTCTTCTAGTGTTACTTCGGAATGTTATAACTTTCCACCACCTCCTCACCCCTCAAGTACTGCACTTTTTCAAGACAGAATGGGAATTCTGTGTCAGTTATTCAAATACAAGTTCGGAAATGAGAAACTTTGTATTTGTCTTACAAAGCTGGCAGATAGATACCTTCAGGTGAGAATCCTTTTATACCTTTTTACTCTTTTGCCTGGAAGGTCAGTGGTATTTAGTACAAACTGACTTTTTGTTTGTTTGTTTAAATTTTTTTATTTTTATTTTTAAGAGATGGGGTCTCGCTATGTTGCCCAGACTGGAGTGCAGTGGCAGTTCGCAGGCGCGATCCCACTATTGATCACCACCGGAGTTTTGACCTGCTCCGTTTCGGACCTGGGCTAGTTCACCCCTCCTTAGGCAACCTGGTGGTCCCCTGCTTCCGGAAGGTCACCATATTGATGACAAACTTGGTGTGGACACCCGATCGCATAGCGAACTACAGTCCAGAATTCTGGGGCTCAAGCGATCCTCCCACCTCAGCCTCCCGAGTAGCTGGGACTAGAGGCACGCGCCACCGCGCCTGGCTTTGTTTTTCTTTTTTTCTTTTCTTTTCCTCTTCTCTTCTCTTCTCTTCTCTTCTCTTCTCTTCTCTTCTCTTCTCTTCTCTCTCTTCTCTTCTTCTTTCTTTTCTTTGAGACAGAGTTTCCCTCTGTTGTCCCAGGCTGGAGTGCAGTGGTGCGATCTCTGCTTACTGCAACCTCTGTTGCCAGGGTTCAAGCGATTCTCCCGCCTCAGTCTCCGGCGTAGCCAGGACTCCAGGTGTGAGCCACTGCGCCCAGCTAATATTTTTTCTTTTAATTTAATTTTGCTTTTTTAAGAGACGACATCTTCTTTGTTGCCCAGGCTTGGAGTGCAGTGGCTATTCACAGGTGCGGTCCCACTACTGATCAGCACGGGAGTTTTCACCTGCTCCGTTTCCAACCTGGTCAGGTTCACCCCAGCTTAGGCAACCTGGTGGTCCCCGCTCCCTAAAGGCCACCATATGGATGCCTAATTTAGTGCGGACATCGGATCGTCGTAGGGCACTGTAGTCCAGAACTCCTGGGCTCAAGCGATCCTCCCTCCTCAGCCTGCCGAGTAGCTGGGACTACAGGCATGTGCCACCGCTCCCGGCTGTTTTTAGTTTTTTTCTCTTTTTTTTGAGACAGAGTTTCCCTCTTTGCCCAGGCTGGAGTGCAATGGCGGAATCTCGGCTCACTGCAACCTCCGCCTCCTGGGTTCAAGCGATTCTCCCGCCTCAGCCTCCGGAGTAGCTGGGACTACAGGTGTGCGCCACCGCGCCCAGCTAATTTTTTTCCTTTAATTTTTTTTTTTTTTT